CGTTGCTTCTTGTCCTGCCTTCAGGCGCTTTGGAGAATAGCTTGACTCCCTCTTCTTTATGGCAGCCCCTGAGATATTGGAACACTGCTATCATGTCCCCCCTCGTCCTTCTCTTCATTAAACTAGACATACCCAATTCCAGCAGCCGTTCCTTATATGCTTTAGCCTCCAGTCCCCTAATCATCTTTGTTGCTCTTCTTTGTAATGAAAGTCTTTATACATAATAACTAATATCTTGAATTGTACCATGGAGCTTACTGATAGGAATGTAGTTAAAAGAAGCAAAGGTATTAAATGATTTTGTATTTGGACCAGCTGCAGCTGGAAAGTTCTTTCAAGGGCTGCGCCATGTAGAGGGGATTGCGATCTTGCAAATGTAAGAAACCAACTCATGAGTAACTGTTTTAAAACCCTCCTGGCCCAGGTATTGTCAAAATTGACATTCGTGCAATGATATTATTGACTATAACTGCTGATTCCTAAATTGTGCACCAGCCCTGAAAGAGGAAGTGCAACCCTCTTCTGACCTAAAAATAGAAGCTCTCCATACTTGAAAATATAAACAGCCACAGCCATTAGACTTACAGGACTGAGCCTGATCTTCCAAATCCAAATCTGCACAGGCAAGACTTTAGAGCATTACGCGATAAGCCTGGGGCCAAGATATACAGTACATCTGAATATCATCTGATGATATTGGATACTAAATTGATGGATGATCTCCCTTGGCAGCTTTGGTAGGATTTTAAACAAGAGGGCTGAGAGTGTCAAGCTTTGAAATACCTTATATAGAACAAAGTTTCTCACTTGATCTGTTATCCCCTATCAAAAGTGATTGGTCCCAATCATAGAGAAAGAAGTGCTACAGAGCATTGTAATTCCCCCATTCCTAATCTCATAGGTGGTCCAGAAAATTACCACGATCAATGATATTGAGAAAGATAAGTAGAGCCAGAATAGTTGGCCTCTGTTCCAACTCTGCCAAAGCTCATCAGTGCCACTTCGTTATTATGCCCCAGTCTGAAACTAGTCTAAAGGATCTAGATCAGTGGTCCCCAACCTTTGCAGCTTAGTGGTCCAGCTTGGGGGGGGAGAGGGGAACTGGGCTGCAGGAGTGGTGGGCTGGTGCATGTACACATGGAGCCCTTGTGCGAGCAGTTGGCTGGCGTGCATGCAAGGGAGTGCCCCCGCTCGTGCAAGTTGAGCTGCACATGTGCATGCTCCACCCAATTCCAAATAGCCACAGCCTGGTATAGGCTGTGGCCTGGGGATTGGGGACTCCTGGTCTAGATAATCTCCATCTTGCAGGACCCCTGCTGTAATACTTCCCTGCAATCTTACCTAGAAACAGAGGGTTGGAAACTGGATGAAACAATTGGACTACTATAAACTTCTTCAGGAAAGAGCTCATGCATCCTTTCCCTTAAAAAGCAGACACTACTGTCTGGACCCAACTCCCCACTAGCTACTAGAATACTTTCTCTCTAGAATTACTTTAACATACCCTTATTTGCTTCTTAATAACAATGTTCTCTCTCCTGTTAAAATGTGAAAATATGTCAGCTTTTGCATGGCTCAGTCAGGAGATTACCTAAAGCTTCAGAAGATTTTTTCTTTTCCCAGGCATTAGTGATCCATTTCCAGCAGTGTCAGCCACACAAGTGTTCTCAGACTAATGTAGCAGAACAGATTCTACACCTGTATTATAATTTTGATTATATTGTTAGAGTAGAAAGAGCACGTTCTTTTTTTTCCTTCACTTTCAACCGTTTCTCCTCCACGCAATGTGTTTTGTTTACATTGTGGTGCTTAATCAAGAACAAAAATGGCAGAAACAGGATGAAAATCAAAATTTCATTTTGTGTGTGTGCATGTGTGTGTTTTGGAGCAATTGTCTATCAGGTATTGATGTATCATAATTAACTTTATCTTTTCATCTTTAGAGGATAATGATTTATAGATGAGACTTAGAAAACATGTATTTTATAAGCATATAAGAATATTGCTCCCATGACTGCTACTTTATGGAAAAATACTAAATTGCCAAACCATACTAATGGAAACAGTAACTTAATGAGATTGATTGATTAATTTGTAACTTGCCCAATTGTACAGACTTTATGGAGCTATACTGTATCGGTAGTCCTCAATTTACCACCACAATTGGGACCAGAAATTTGGTCATTAAAGTTGTAAGTCAAGGCATCCATGTGATTTTTATGTCATCTTTTATGGCGGTTGTAAAGCGAATCCATTATTCTGAATGAGTGTTTTTGATGTTTTTTAGCAAAAAACAACAACATCCGCAATTCACATGGTCATAAATGCAAGCAGTTGCCAAGTGCCTGAAATGCTTTCACATGACCGTGAAGATATGTGTGACATTTTACGATGGCTGGATATACTTTATTGGGGCATAAAGCACCCATTCTGAGGCTATTGTATAAAATGACTGGGTTTAAGTTGAGGACTAATTATATCTGATTATGAATTTTTTATGAAGTTTCTTTTGTATGTGCCATCCTCATGATGAGAAATAATATGCCAACATGAAGCGACTATGCTATACTACTTTATTCTATTATATACCACTACTTTATACTATATCTCATAGTATTTCTTAGTCATGGTTTAATATGCTATATGGACTAAGAAACTGTCATTTATAAGCCATGATTTATTGTGCAACATATTGTACATACAAATTATGGTTTGCTTTTACTTAAGAGTGATGCATGAATCCAGCAGTTGTTCAACTCAGTATGGCAGCTTTGCATCTTAATACTTTTTTATTAGTGGAATAAAATTTTGTTGAATAGTGATAAATATGTATAAGTATATTTCTTTCAAAAATAATGAACTAGATGAAAAGGAAGTATTTTTTAAAAAAATTACTTAATTTTTAATTTAGTAGATTTCCTTGGTAATTTAACAGATTCAAATATAATATTCTGAGGCTGTTTTTAAAAAAGAAAAATGTCTGACTAAGAATGCTCATCAAAATATGGTCCAAGAAAAGAAAGAATCAAAATAGAAGAGAAATAGATATATTAATTTTAGTATACTACGAGATAATTTGTAAATGTACCTAAATGATTCTTGATACCTCTATAGCAGGGGTGTCAAACTCAATTTCACTGAAACAGCATTGCGGTTGCCCTGGGGAGGCCGGGTGGGTGTGGCCAGAGTGGGTGCAGCCTACTGGGTGGGCATGGATGGAGTGGGTGTGGCTACTGGTTGAGTGTGGTCAGTTCTACATCATTCGCATCAAGGGTGCCTATGGGGGCCTGGGCAGGAGTGGGACAGATCTGAGGGTCTCTGGCAGAAGGGGGCGGGACCGGGGCAAGTGCCAAGGCATGGTCCACCGGGGCAAGTGCCAAGATGGCCACCACAAAATTGTACATTGGCTCCCGGCTGGCCTGGGCCAGGGCCAAGGCAGCGGGGGCCGTTCCCTCACTGTTTCTAGGATGGCTTCGCGGGCCACATGAAACCACTTTGCGGGCCGCATCCGGCCCCCGGGCCTTGTGTTTGACATGTCTGCTTTATAGGAAGAGTTTTCTTCAAGATACTATGAAGTGCCATATATTTTCAGTTTCTAAACTTTATTAATTAATATTGAAATGTATTAGGAGTAATTAAGTTTATTATTTCTGCCCTAATGTGGGTTCCTCTTTTACCCTATTTGTTGTTATGTAAACAAGATAGATCATTCAGAAAGAATCTTGGAGTTTGCCCTTCATGATTGCAATGCTTTCAGATAATGTCACAGAGTTATATTAATTATACCTTTTAAAAAGTCAGCATAGTTTATCAAGACTTTAACTGGTATGTTTGAACAATCTTCTGATGAAACTTTTGAAAGCAGAAGTTTTGGCACTTTCGCTCTGTTATATTGATCTTTAAAAAGAGAGGGAGAGGCTACTTGAAAACCACGTTCTCTATTACTACTGACCTTGTCAGCTTTTTCTTCCTCCTCTCCTTAGTAGCAGAATGGATGTTTTGCTGACTCTGGATAGGTTGAAGAGGCACTCGGGAATTCAGATCTACTGAAGCAGCAGTGAGGAAGAGGTAGAAATGTGATCTACTCTTGCTACTATTCCCCTCACTTGTTGCAGCCTTGCTTTGGGCTCAGGACTTCCGTTTTCTCATCATGGTGGTGAAAGGGATCTGAAAGCTTTGATGTGAGGGATCAGGAAGTTACACTTAACATTATGTTGCTGAATAGTAAGATTTATTCTTGTAGAAAGTAATTTTTTGGGGGGAAGGTTTTATCTAATTATACTCTTTTTGATGAACTACGCATAAATTATACAGAAAGATAAAAGCATTTGACAACTAGAATTTTCAAAGCACTGTTCATCAGCTATTGATTCTTAACAATGAAGTCTTGTGGCTTTATGAGACAAATATGTTTTTGCTTTATATGTAAGTAGAATTGTTGATTATCTTTTCATGATATTATAGTAAGGAGAAATGAATTCATCAAAAAGGTTCCTGTTTTTATCAGATTCTACATATGCTAATTTCCTTGATTGACTCTGAAGTATCTGCACATAATTCTGTATACTTAATAGTGGTAAAATTGCACATATTTTAAAATTATTGCTATAACACCTATTTTCCTGGCAGTTTTAGATTTATAGCTAATTGGAATGCCAAACTTATAAAGGCACTAAAGTCTTAAATGTGTAATTATGTAATTTTCTTTTGATCTTTCAGAGTCTTTTTGCGAGCAATTAATCAGTATGCAGATATGCTGAACAAAAAATTTCTTGATCAAACCAGCTTTGAGCTACAGGTAAAACATACACTGAATATTGTCTTATTATTTCTAAAAGTCCTTCTCAATATATGTTTCTGTAGTCCTCTTTTTTAAGATTTTCATTGAATGTGCTATTTATATGTGGAAAAGATATGGTATGTATATAATTATTTATAATAGACTCTATATGTACAGATATATAGAGTTTATATAGTTTTTAGACATAATGACAATCTGTATTTTAGTTATCCATATTATTAAAGTTCTTTTTATAATAATGTTATTAAAATATTACAGTAATATAAGATAATACAGATTAAAAGAGAAAGAAGATGCAAAAAAGCAAGGAAGAAAAAAGTAGAAAAATAATCCCCCTTAAAAAAGCAATTCCCCACTTTTTTCATAAGAAGTATAAAAAATTCATCCCATACCTCATCTCTTACTTATGGTTACCAATAAGTAACGTCTTCTCCAATCTTCACCAATAATCTGTTGGGATGTCTTTATTTTAATCAAGCAAAGATAAGGTCACTTGTTTTATGTCATATAATTTGTTCAGATACTTCACTGAATAATTTTTGCAAAGCCAAATTTTACTCAAAAAACAAACTTAAAACATCATCTTCAACCTTGTGTGCTATATGATTTTTTTCCTCAGTATTCAATAGAACAATAAAGAACACCTCTTTTCTTTTGGCAGGCGCTCAAACTATATTTAAGAAGATTTTTAAAGGTTTTCACTTTAAGTACAATATAAATAGATATTCATTCCTTTTTTGTTTTACTTGATTTCAGTATTAGACAAGTACGTTTCTTTAATCAATATTTATTTATTTGTTAAATTTATTTGCCTCCCATCTTGCTGTGGAGCTATTCTATGTGATTTAAATGAAGAAATGAACAGAAGTGTAAACAAAACAGAAGTTGATAACAAAAGATGGACAGGTAGAGAGCAGAGAGCAAGCAGGGAGGTAGAATCTACCATCAATCTAGCAACCATCTCCAACATGGAACTCCCCAATGCAGCAATACAAAGATTTTGTTAATAAATATTCAGTAGCTTGATATTTTCTTGACATTAATATACATAATATAAATTATATCTTTGCTAACTTATCTGTATCATTATATTTCAGTATTAAAATGTTGACATTTTTGTATTTTTTTGCCATTTCCAGCTTTGGAACAACTATTTTCATCTTGCTGTTGCTTTTCTTACCCAAGAGTCATTACAACTGGAGAATTTTTCAAGTGCTAAAAGATGCAAAATACTTAACAAGTAAGTTATATGTCAAATAAAAACCATGAATAGGAACTTGAAACTTTGTTAACATAATATTATTTGAGATGCTCAGAAAACTTAAGACAGGTTGACAAGTAATCATAGTATGATGAAAGGTTAGATTTGAAACTGTGATTCAAGTATTTATCATATTTTTAGCATCAAGTTAGGGTCCAAAATTAAAATATAAAGCAAACATTTACCTTACGTCATATTAATGGAGTTAAAATGCTTCAAAATTACATTAGAAAACACCATTTTTAATCCTCTATTTTTTCTGTTCATTTTAATCTCATCTTAACAGTTTACATTGCTATAATATTAAAGATCTTGTAGCATGAAGATGATGAAACCTGTGTGATGGCTACATAAACTCCTTGATTAGAGGAAAACAATATATTTATCGCTGATTGAAAACCCCTTATAAACGTTTTGCATAAAAGAGAAAAATAAGTATTTATTATTTATGGGGTTGATGATTAAAAAAAACCTTTGACAATAGAAAAAAGGGAACTTTTGTTATCATAAAGCAAAAGATAATTTTGTAATTGTACTTATATTTGCTGCAAATATATTTACTGCTTTTACTCTTTATTATTTTGTGTTAGTTTTTATCTTCTTTGTAAAAGTTGCAACAAAAATTATATAATGAAAGATCTTGTAGCTAATTTTGAGATGAATTTTAATGTGAAATACATGAATAAATCTTAGACCTTTGTCATACCTTTGCTTTTTTCTAGCTTTAGAGGAGTAGTTTAGAGATTTTATTTAAAATTTCATAGTTTCAAAACTCATATATAAATTACAGTGGATTGAAATTAAAGATTTATTTATTTATTTTATCAAATTTTTAAATTGTTATTTTTCCTCACATTTGTACTTTGGGTGATGTACAAATAAATATTTAAACTATTATATAAAATTTTAAAAGAATCAAGTGATGTTAAAAATGAATTAAAAAAATGGTGAGAGGGCTTTCAGGCAGTAATCTACTCTATGGTTGTGTGTTTCTCCATGAACCCCAAGCAAGCCCACAGAGAGGGGGCCCATCTCACTTCTAGGAAGAGAATGTCCACAGACACAGTACATTTTTTCATTCATAATAGGATTTTGTGAATGCAAAGATTTTTGATATAACAAAGTCTATATTCATACTGTGTTGCATATTATTTCCACTCTCTCCCTTCCTCTCTCTGTCCCTCTTCTCTTCATAGATTTTTAGGGTGGTTGTAAATAATAGAATTATACTCCCCTTCTTTTTTCTTTTAGAAGTGAACAACATGGAACTTTATCCATGTTTAATCCATTCTTTCAGTCCAGCCCTCTCAATCCTGCCCCCACAAAGAGTTGTTGTTAGAAAAATAGGAGATACATGCCTCTCTGAATTACACATAATAAAATTGAGATTAGATAGATAGATAGATAGATAGATAGATAGATAGATAGATAGATAGATAGATAGATAGATAGATAGATAGATAGATAGATAGATAGATAGATAATGGATGGCCAGACAGACAAGTTTTGGGATCCAAACAATATTTCTGTCACTAAAGAGTACCAAAAATGTTAAATAAACACATATTTATGAATTTGAAGAGAACAATCAGCTTGTAGCATATAAGCATATAGAATAGAATAGAATAGAATAGAATAGAATAGAATAGAATAGAATAGAATAGAATAGAATAGAATAACAGAGTTGGAAGGGACCTTGGAGGTCTTCTAGTTCAATCCCCTGCTCAGGTAGGAAACCCTATACCATTTCCGACAAATGGTTGTTCAATCTCTTCTTAAAAACTTCCAGTGTTGGAGCATTCACAACTTCTGGAGACAAGTTGTACCACTGATGAATTGTTCTAACTGTTAGAAAATTTCTTCTTAGTTCTAGGTTCCTTCTCTCCTTGATTAGTATCCATCCATGGTTGAAACAGTAAATGTTTTTATAGTAGTGATGTCAATCTGCCAGCATCAGAGATACGAACATGCTATTATTATACATGTTTGCATAATGCCTTTTTCATAATTCATTACAAACTTCCATATTGACTTATTGATGCAGGTCATTACAGCTTTAGAGAGGTAAAAATCTAACCCAATGAGATATTAATAATTGGAACTGAACTAGTGTTTTCTGTGATGGAGGTAGTCTTCGCCTAAGCTTAAATCAGTGTGGTTATTAAATGGAATGATGTAGCAAAGTCTTTGTAACCCCACAAGCACTATTTGTTTTTGTTTATCCAAAAGCTCAGGATAACCGAATTTACAACTTCTTTTGGTCACTTTCTGCATTAAAAGCTTCACTTATTCACACGTTTATGAAGCTCAGATTTTAACCAACCTGTATTTCGGTTCCAGAACATTTGAAGCAGGAAGCCCACTGTGGAGTACCTCATTTGGTTTACTGGCTCTAAAATACAAGCTCCCATTCACTGTTATACTTTCTAACAAGCCTTAGCAAGCCCCAGCTTAGTCTGGTAACTTTTCCTGGCATGTTTTTATTGGACTGCCATTACCTCAAGCAATTCTCATGGGAACAAACTTTTTTTAAAGAGAATGAATTGGCTCTTTCCAGATGCTTCAATTCTGCTATGTTTTCACATTCCACATAACCAAAACCTTTTGAGAACAGCCCCCCTATGGGTCGCATGTGTTCATGTCTTTATACAAATTGCACAAAATAGGCACACAGATATTCAGAAAGACAAATGGACAGTCACACACCAAGCAAGTAACTAGTTTCGGTGTTCCCTGCTCTGTCACTGATTTCTGAAGATTGGATCAAGAAAATACAAGCATGTATGTAAATGCCCTGTAGAATGTGAGAATATAGTTCCATAATGTTTTTCTTAGATTTTTGTTTGAGCAAAAGGTAAATATATAATTTTGAAAATACATACTATTTTAAATTAACAAGACTTATGAATAGAATACTTAAGTAGAATAAAAATGCAATACTCTTTTGGATAAAAGAGACTGTTACAAATAAACTCTATTTCTCTCATTAACCTTCTAGATTACACATCAATTTCTACCGAAACCTAGAATATAGGAGGACATTCAAAGTACTTATCCTCATATCCAGTACCTGTTTTATTTAGAGAACTCTCCTAGGCTCTCAATCACAGATGGCAACCTTCATTTCCTGCCAGTTGCTAAGATGACAGCTTAGCAGCATGCTGTTTTCCTTCCTTATTTCTTTTCTAAACTAAACATAAAAGGTTTCCTCAGTATATTTTACCACATAGCTTTAATCACTAAATCGAGATTCAGTGGGAAAATTTTATTTTACTAAGTAACAAACAAGTAGACACACAGAAGCTAAAAATCATTTTCATTTTCGAATACAAGATGCATAATAATTTCTAACAACACCATACTGTTTAGCTGTTTTTATATTCAAAGTTGCAAATTCTAGTTGAATTGCTTATTGAACTAGAAACCAAGTTGAACATGGGAAATGCAGGAAAGTGCTGAGCGGCAGAACTCTAATCATGGTGGCAGTTGATGGTGAAATCCTTCCAAATTTCTGCCCAGAGTCATTTGACAATGAGATGGGTGACATATAAATGTAATAAATACATAAAGAAATCAATAGAGTCAAGATCTTTTATCCTCTCAGGAAATCAGGATGCTTTCTTCTGATTTGTCCCTTTCCAACACATAAATACCAATGCTTAAGTTGATATATTCAGCCACCTTATAATCATAGGCTAATATATGTTGCTATATCTGGTTTTTACTGGTAGAGTATTAATCTCTATATTTTCTTCCTGTTGTTGTAATTTCTTAAATTAGGCCCTATTCTTCTAACAAGATCTAAGCTTTCACTAAATTTAAAAATTCCTGAACTAGTGTTCTTAATATAATATAAACATGCCAATTATAGCAGTTGACCTTACCTGGTTGGTATTCTAGCAAAACTAGCTTCTCTATATCTAAAGTATTCCACTTGGTTGCTTCCAATTCCTTTCTCTCTTCCTAGAGACTTACAATAAGGATGTCTGGGTCTCATCATTGTGTCATGGAGTCCAACTAATTTGGCTTTTGGGTGCACTTCCAATCCTCTCTATTGCTATGCTTTATCTTCTCTGTTGCCCTGTCTGGATTTCTTATGATGAATTTTTCAAACAGAATGATTCCCACTGCCCTGACTTTCCCAGCCAATTGAAAACAGTTGGCAGGTGTGTTTATGTGGGCATAAAAATAAAAGCAGGTCCATAAATTACAGTAAAGAGCCTATAGCAAAGAGAATATGCACAGAAAGTGCTTATAGCTGAGAAAATATGGCTAGATTCAGTTTGAAAATTAAAATGTTTTGTCTTGTTCTAGTTTAGTTCTGATTGAGATTTCTTCCTATGTTTCTGGTTGAAGTTCAGGGTCATGATCCATTTGTTTGACCTGAATTAGTTTAATTCAAGCTTATGCCACAAAATGTATATTATTTAGATTGCAGTGTTGTCTTCTAAAATCAAACAGAACAAATTATTTGGTTTAATTTGAATTGTTTATAGTATTCTAATTACCTTCTTCAAATTGTTGCATTTAGGTTATATAAACTTCCAAAATTATTTATTTTATAAACATTTCCAGCCCAATACAAAAATTTGTTTGAAAGTGATAAATGAGTGATTATTTGATAAATAATTGAGTATTTGCAAGTGATTATAGTGGCAACTAAGAATAAAAAGGTATTGAAAGCAAATATGTATAAGCAATGAATTAAGAAATTAATTTATGGAAATCAATAAAAGCATGTGAATAAAGCAAAGTTTATATATGCTTATATATGCTTATGGTGAAAATACCTATACTACATCATTGTGATTTAAATTATCACTATATTCAATATCAAATGCTCTTATTGAATTAAAATTAAAATTAAATTTCAAAATTTTATTTTATTTTGATTTTTTTTCTCTTTATAACCATATAATGCCAAGATATATTATAGGAAATGTTTTAGATTCTGTTTGTATAAAATATAAATGTTAGCATTATAAATCTTTATTATATCGATTGATTTGTACAAAAAAATATTTGAAACATAAAATCAAAGTTATCAAAGTCCAATGAGAAATAGTTCTCATTGAAAAATAGTTCTGTATTTTTTTCTCCTATAAGAGATTGACCCATTTCTCACAGAATGCTGTCTGTCTATCTGTCTGTCTGTCTGTCCTAAGCGGCATGGTGTCCTAGTGATGAAGATGCTCATCTCCCACTTGGAAGGTTGAGAGTTCAATTCTAGATAGCAGCAGATGTTTCTCTCCTAGGGCAAAAAGAAAAAAAAAATCTGCTGTAAACTCCATATGGCATCAGGAAGGGCATCCAGCCAATAAATGTTCAACTCCATCCAGTCATCCAACTCTACTTGGAATTAAGAGATTACAGGATTGCAAAAAGGGAGGTTTCTTTTAAATTTATCACATTTCTGAATTGCCCATCTTCCTCAAATAGGGACCCTGGGGAGTATACAACCCACAGATGAACCATTTTGATGGTTACTCGATTCAAGTGTGTGCTTAAAAGTAAGAGATCCTAGAGCTTTCCAGAATATCAGAAGTAAGGGGGATAGTGTCATTGTTTGGGACGATCACAGAGAATGCCTTGTCAGAGCAAAGTGAGTCCTGCTATAACCCAGTGCTACACTGTAGGGCTTTGCAGGTGATAACCAGCACTTTGAATTAGACCCAGAACCTAACAATCAGTGCAACAACCCACCCATTATGCCTTAATTTTCTGGTTTGACAAACCAAGGCTACCATGCCTTTTTTTTTAACAAAACATAATTAAGTAAAATAGGCTATTAGGCCTAGAATATAATTTGTTTTGTTTTTCGTTGATTTAGTATAAATGTCTTGCTTAGTCATTATTATCAGTAACCATGTTTTCCTGTTGCACCGGTGGTTAAGTTATCAAAAAAAGAGATGTGATATACTTCATATTAATACATGGGGTTTAGAGAATACATAAGCTATAATGTACAGATCATCGGGATCCCAACTCTTGGGTTGTGGACCAGTACCGAGCTGCAGCATGCCAGCAACTGGTCCACACAAACAAGCAAAGCCCCATCTGTGGGATGCAGGCAGCATATAAAACCATGCACTCTCTGGTCTATGAAAAAACCTTTCTCCACAGAACCGGTCCCTGGTGCCCAAAAGGTTGAGGACCTCTGCTGTAGATAACAATATGCTGAATGATCTTATTCAGAGATTTTATGTAAATGCTGAACCTCTTGAGGGATAAGATAGGTTTCTACAATGTTTAAATTTAGCCATACCATGATGTCTGATGATAAACTATTTTCATTCTGAATTTTGAGCCCAGGGAATTAAATCAAATGCCCTTAAATTAATGGGAAAAGGCACTTTTGATAAAAGTTTATGATTTAGCTATTGTTTTTCAATTTTTGATCAATATTTTTATGCTAATGATCTTACTACAATATTTATAATCTTATTTCCCCAAAAGCATAGATATCTTCTAGGACAGGGGTCCCCAACCTATGATGTGCAGCCCGGGACCGGGCTGCGGGCTCTTGGCCAGCTGGCTGTGGAAAGGGCTGGCCGGTGTGCACACGCATGGGTGCACATTCCCCCCACTCGCGCTAGTGCCCATTTGCGCATGCGTGTGGGCGCAAACAGGGATGCTAGCGTGGGGCGGGTGTCCGCAGCCCATTTGCACATGTGCTGCTAGCCTGGGTGGTTTGTGTGGCCCATTTGCGCATGTGCAAACGGGCCACTAGCCACGGTAGGGGTTGCACGGCTGTTTGTGCATGTGGATGGGGCCAGCACATGCCACATGCATGAACATGTCTGCTAGTGCCTCACCAGTATGTGTGGTCCCGTGCGTGTGCGTGCACACACCAATTTTGAAGCTGTTCTCCTTCTCTCCGGTCCTCGAGCCCGGAAAGGTTGGAGACCTCTGTTCTAGGAGACATAATCTGCTTTTCATTTTCTAATGATTCCCAAAACATTTTAAAAACCATCGTGTAGTTTTTCAACATTACCCATTACCTTTACTCATCTGAAAATCAAGATCTATATTTTGAAACTCTTTGTCCAAATTATTTTTTCCAATTTTGAATGTCATTTCCCCAACAAACCAGACTTGGTTATTTTACACCAGTGTTTTGTCAGGAGCAGTTCCAAACTAGATCCTGGATTCACAAAGTAGCAATTACAAATTGTTCCCTTACCCACAGAATATGCCCAGATTATCCCTTGGGCATAATTACCCCTAGTTTAAGAACCAGTGTTCTAGATGTCATCTGTATGTTTAAGGTTGTGGGCAGTCAGCCATCACTTACTCTGAGACAACCAAAAGCTGAACACAGAGGATGTGTTCAGGAGTCACCTGAATCAAATTTCCCCTTCATATGAATTATAGTCCTGGACATTCAGATATTTTTGCCCTACAGAAATATGTAACTTTTCTCACTAATAAATGAATAAGTATATTTTTTGACATTTTTAAAATTGTTTTTAGGACTTGTGAAGGGAATTTACCAAGTTTTAGGTTATATTTATGCAGAAATACTGAACTTTCAAAAGGGTTCACAAACTTTTAAACGCCATTGTATATCCATCTTTTTAAAAAATGCAACCTGTAATACTCTATTTTTGTTGATTTTCTGTTAGCTTTCCAGACACCATACATTCAATTTCATTGTACTATCTCAGCAGATGTCATGATTGTTTTTTAAAAAATAACTTCATAATTAATGTGATTGGATGTTCTTGATTCCTGCTATTTATTGTTTGCCATTTTCTACATTTCATGAATGCTAAAATAAGCTAAATATAATATATTCCTAAGGGTATTGAATCTATTTTATTCAGATATCGGAGACTGAGAATTGAAAAATACTTTCATTAATCTACACAGCCACCTTAGATTCACAAGGGATAATTATGCAAAATGCCAGTGAAAATCTCACAGGTGAAATGTTTACAGAAAAAACAGTACCCACTGGAATTCTTTTTCCCTTTAAGCAAAGTTGTGAAATACAGATGTTAATATGGGAGTTAGGATGCAGGGGGTTTGAAGTTTTCTTGATTTATTATTTAAATCATTTTCTTTCAGTATGATTTATGAATGTCAATGTATTGTTTGCTTACATTTTTCCTGTTCTTAACAGTGGAAATATTACTTAACAAATTGGAAAAGCTAGTTCTAAATGCTTCTATTTTTGATAGGAACTTAGTTAAAGTATTAAAAGAATTTTAATAAAACACTTTGCACTTTCTCTAGGTATGGTGATATGAGAAGACAAATTGGTTTTGAGATTCGTGATATGTGGTATAATCTGGGTAAGAATCCCAATATTTGATCCTTAGATATCCTGCTTGTGTGAATTTATGCTTGATTTGCAAATTTTGTGGACATATATTTGTATATTTATTTCTATATTACTCTGTAACACAATGATGTAATTGACATATTGAAAATATACTTAAAATAGTTTTTTACTGTTATGGCTTGGGCAGCAAAACAATTGCAGAGATTTCAGATGTGACAATTCGTTTATATCCATTAATAAATTACCATTCCTGAAATTTATTCATTAGTACACAGGATGAACAGTTCTTTTGAAAGTAGGAGATTGCAGTCTAATATTAATTTTGGCTTTGTTTTTAAGTATTTGAAAAATATAATTGTTCTTTGTTGCTTGAAGCTCATTGGCATCCTTAGGTCTAGTGAATGACCATACCGTTGTGCTGCCCTTCTACAGGTATTTATTCAAACCCCCCAAACAAGTCCTGGATAACACTGGTGCAGCCCTTTATGAAAGGTGAAGTTGCCTCCTCACCAGTAGTCTAGTTGACCGGCATTGTGCCTGTCTTCTCTCTGTTCTATGTGACTCCATCACCTCATCGCTAATGGGGAACAGCTGCTCCTGGTCTCTGCCTTGAGACTCCTGGCCAACGTGCTGCAGCTATAGCTCACCTCACTCAACCTCACTCTCACTTATCCAATTGACCCAGCTGAGACTGCTCGGTCAGGTTGGCACTTTCCGAGCCCTGATTCTGACCAACACTTGGCTCCGTGCTTTCCCCTGCTGACTCAAACTCATCCTTCTCCTCCTGAACTTGTGTCCGGAAAGGCATCTGGAGGCAGAACCATGGCAGCCATTTATAAATATTATAGAAAGCACATAATAGTTAAAAGAGACAATTTTTAAATTACTTTATGGATTTAGATGGAAAGGCTTTATACTAAAATATAATGTTCTTTATTTTTTTTTTACTCACTACCTTCTTTTATAATATGAGTATATCTCTAAAAGAACAGTGAATCCTGTGCAGAAATAGGAAACCTGGTTTCTTCTAGATATTTTGAAATACAACTCTTATCAACTTCAGTAGTTTAGACTGGAATTTGTTGCCTAAAATACACAGAGAACTATCTGGCCCCTGGACATACCTCTTATCAGTTAAGAGGATGGCCCTCTTGTGGCTTCACACACAAGCTGTTAATAGGCTGAAAAAGTTTTCACTTTAAGTACCGTAACTAAGAAATAAATAGAACTCTAACAGTGAAAGTTGTACAGGTTGTGATTTTTTGTAACTTGAGTTTATTCTCTTCAATAAATCCTATTAAATCCACGGAGAGCCTTTTTTTCTGTTGAAATGGCCTGCCAAGAGCTTGATAGTTTGTCTATAACTCAGGACAATACTTTTTTAATCTGATGAAGTGAATTCTGGACTACAACACTTATATCTTGTTAAATCTGCACATTTTTGTACTTTTCCTATAATACATAGCATTGATATTTTTCCAGTAATTATTATTTGTAACATATAATGCAATGATCTACAGAAACGTATGTGTCATGGTTTCGACTAAGGAAACACTTCAAAGAACTTCCAGTTAATATAGGATATTATTGCTTTGATAGTATGATTAAAGCTAAAATTGATGTATGGAGCAATTTTGCAAGAATAGGATAGGATAGAATACGATAGGATAGGACAGGACAGGACAGAATAGAATATTTTATTGGCTAAGTGAGATTGGACACACAGGATATTTTTCTCTGCTGCATAAGCTTTCAGTGTACATACCATCAATGTAATATAATCAGTGTACATACAGATATATAAACAGCATGTACATGCAAACAAGAAGTGTACATACAAACAATAAGGTAATATAATCATAAGATAGCAAAAGGAGAAGGTAGTGGAAAAGATGAGAAGGATAATAGTAATACAGCCATATACATAGGTAAAAATCCTTAGACATAAAACATTGCTGTGGGAATTAGGTGTTCAGCAGAGTGATGGCACGAGAGAGAGAAAATGTCCCTGTGTCTAGTTGTTTTGGCATGCAGCGCTTTATAGCAGCATCCTGAGGGGAGGAACTGAAACAATTTATGTCCAGGATATGACAGGCCTGCAGATATTTTCTCAGCCCTCTTTCTGACCCTCTGAGTACAAGACGGAACGAAACACAATTCATCGTATTGTTAATAAAATAGTTTATAATATGTTTAAAATATTTAGTCATATTTATTGCAATTTTATTGTGGTCCTTTCCTTACAGTCTTTGCTTTATGAAGTAATTAACATTAGATCACGACAATCGCCACCATCAAATGTCAGTGCAAATATTGTACATTGAAGTAGCTATGAAGGAGAATATTTGTAGCTCAGCTTTGAAATGAGGGGTCCTTGGTGTTCTCTGCGCTTGCTTGTTTTCTTGCAATGAAACGTCTGCTGGAAAACAAGCAAGCTCAGAGAGGACCATTGAAATATCTGAAATCTATAAAGATATTGCAACAGAGGGATAGAATCAAGATCACGTAAAGTATTAATACCACTTTACAATGCCTTGGTAAGGCCACACTTGGAATACTGCATCCAGTTTTGGTCACCACGATGTAAAAAAGATGTTGAGACTCTAGAAAGAGTACAGAGAAGAGCAACAAAGATGATTAGGGGACTGGGGGCTAAAGCATATAAGGAACGGCTGCTGGAATTGGGTATGTCTAGTTTAACGAAGAGAAGGACGAAGGGGGACATGATAGCAGTGTTCCAATATCTCAGGGGCTGCCACAAAGAAGAGGGAGTCAAGCTATTCTCCAAAGCGCCTGAAGGCAGGACAAGAAGCAACGGGTGGAAACTAACCAAAGAGAGAAGCAACCTAGAACTAAGGAGAAACTTCCTGACAGTTAGAACAATTAACCAGTGGAACAACCTGCCTCCAGAAGCGGTGAATGTGCCAACACTGGAAGTTTTTAAGAAGAAACTGGACAGCCATTTGTCCGAAATGGTATAGGGTTTCCTGCCTGAGCAGGAGGTTGGACTAGATGACCTCCGAGGTCCCTTCCAACTTTATCATCATTATTATTATTATAACTATTTGCTTTTTTAAATTGATGTTCACTTAAACCCTGATTGACTCATATCTGTTATATTTTTAAAGTACCATAGTGGAAAAGTATTGAAAATAAAACATCAAATTTATGAATAAGAGAAGGAAGGAAGGAAGGAAGGAAGGAAGGAAGGAAGGAAGGAAGGAAGGAAGGAAGGAAGGAAGGAAGGAAGGATTAAAACACAATTCCTAATGTTAAATTATTTGTTTTATGGAACAACGTGCTTTGAGTTCTCAGTTCCCAGAATTATTAAAAAGTCTAGTTGGTAATCTGTCAGGATTTCCTGATTCTGGATTGGATGAATTTATATTTGAGGTTTCATCCAATTATAAGCTTTTAGTTATTCAAAATACTGAACCTCTCTAAGCTGCACTGGTGGAGTCTAAGTAGGAGTTCTGTAATTGCTCTGTGATTTACTTGAAGTGCAGAATACAGCAGATTTTAATGTCATTCATTCCTTTTTAATTATATTATGTCAGTTAATGCTGAATTTGGGATGTCTGGTGTCTTCTCTTCTCTATAATAATTTCTCTTCAGTTTTGTTCAGAAACCTTCTTTTGGCAGAACAGCACGAGATTTTGTAAATGTCCTTCCGCTCACTTCAGCTTGGCATTTTTCAAAGGCAATCTCTAATTCATTGTAAGACTATTGCCCTTCATAAAATTTGCTCTCAGCATTGCTTTTTATGAAAAATATGTCTTGGATGTCTTGGAGTGCTGAAAGGTTTAAACATTTAAAAGGTTAGATGCTGCTATTGTTATTTTAAATTGGAATCAGATTATTTCTTGTGATCTTGAACAATTGTTATTTGGATTGTTATTATTTTGGTTTTAATTCTTGTACACCATCCAGAGTCATTGTTATAAGACAAGTGGTAATAGAAACTGCATATACAAACACGTAATCATCAAATGTCTAGTAACATCATCTGTAAGTCTATTATACCCTCATGGGTTTCTAGCTTAATTATATAGTCAGATTATTACTCTTCTTCAACCATAACTTCAGTTTCCAAAGTGTTGGCCTAATAGATTTGACATAATATCAAGTTGATAATATTATATAAATCTATTTTTCAGACAGTCACTGTCTGAAAAATAGTTACTGAAAGATAGTTGAATAATCCTAATAAAGTAATCGATAAGAAGAGGGCTGTGAAGCTAAATATTGACATTTTGATCCATGACGACCCTGCCTGAATACTGTCAAACTCCTCATAATTAATAAGTTGGAAAAGGACATTCTAGAAGAAATTTAAAATTCATACCCACTATAAGTAATTGCATATTACTGCTGGTTGCAGAAGATTGAGTGTTAAATTTGCCGCTGTGCCTGTCATTTTTTTAAAGTGTGTAGGAGGAATGTGAATATAAAATTAGTTGTTTTTAGGCTGTGCCAGGCTGCTGAGAATAGAGAAATAGTCTAGCATTGACTGTATATAATTTTTAGTTCAAATTATTGAATGGTGGTATCTATGTAGCCTTGGAGCCTAACGATACAGTATATGTCATCTGAACATGTCCACCATTAATAAGGTACAGTGTTATAAACTGACACTAGAGTACTGTAAAAGACAAGGAGAAATTTATCTTACTGTCACAATTGAATGACTGTGCCTAAGGACTATATATAAGAACTATACTCCAACATGATTTTTTTCAAGTCTTTTGGATTTTTTAGTCTCCCATAACTAAGATCAATAGGCATATTTGCAATGCATATAGGTGTGTGTGGGTGTGATGGATTTATTTATTTATTTATCCATACTTTTCCTAACTAGCATTACTTTCATTACAAGCAGTATACTATTATTGAACATAGTAAAATAAAAACAATGGAATAATTCATTAAAAACCTATATTCAGAATTATATTTGGGAGTTGTTGGTAGTCAGGAGTCACACAAATTTAATAAACAAATAAAAATAATTCT